AGGAATTAAGCGAAAAGTCCCCTAGCGCTTTAGAAGACATAAAGACCCATTATCTGCTCAAGCACGAAAGGATCATCTGCGGTAGGTGGTTAGACCTGACTCTTATTATTGTATAAACCTACAAAATGCTCTCCTCTGAGATTTCGTCTTGTATTTCTACTTTTCTTTTTCCTTAATCGTTATCGTCTATGGACAGATATTAATGTGAAGTGTTCAAGTCGAGCTTCAAGTAAAAGTTTATTTTGAAAAAAAAAATCTATTTTGTGGACGAGCAGAAACTCCAAAAACGCCACGTAAAACTACAAAGCAAATTTTCGCAATTTTTGAGAAGCATGAAGCCCGAACAGTTGTTTTCAGTGCAGTAGAATTTTGCAAGCAGTGAAAATTTTGGTTGTTGCGAAAGGTGAATGAAGATTTGAGAAAGTGGGATTCATCGTTTTGAAGCATTTCTTTTTCGAGTGTTTGAATGCAGGATAAAGCTCAAATTAATAAATAAAGCTGCAGAATAAAGAACCGTGTAGTCATTGGTTGGTGAGGTTTGCATTGGTTGGAAGCATAAAACCGTAGACGTGATTTCTGAAATAGGAAGATAATGTCTGCTAACTCCCTTCGTTGAAGAAGCTTATTTACAATGACTTTCGGATCCATCCACACATTCGACATTCATGAACTACAGCTAGATTCTGTTACTGTATTTGGCGAACGGGCAGAGGTGGTGAGATTAGTACGAGTGGACCTGGAAGAAGGACTTAACAAAATTGTTGTTCATGTAAGATTTGGTAACTGTAAAAAATTTCTACCTTCCTGTCAGTAAATCTGCCTTAACTGCGCACCTTTAGGGGTTCGTTCAAACTGTTGTTGAAGATTCGGTGCGGGTTCATGGTAAAGGAGATGGTGTAATTCAGGAAGTGCAGTTTCGATCTCGATTATGCAAAGAAGAAGAATATCCAGAAAAGGTTTTTTTGCAACGAGTTTCTTAGCTTCCAGGAACTTAAAGCTCTTACTTGATGTAGATCTTATTTTCAAAGTAAAAGTTTGCGTATTTAACACTTCTCGCATTTGCATTTTAAATTATTTTTTTTTTATTTTTTTACATGGGAGTAGGTTTGACGATTGCTAGATTGAGGTTCGGCTGCGGTTTTTAGCTTGTAATTTTACTCTTCTGTTCTGCTCTTCACTCCACCTTTAGTACTGTGGATATATTTTTCTTTTTTGGTTTTCTGAAATTCATTACCTCCTTTATGGTTAGAAATCTTGACAGCTTGACAGAAAATAAAGCTCAAGAATGTAACTGTGCTCGCCGTTACGCGATCTCTTTTTTCTAATGTAAGAGAAGAGGTTATTTTATTCGTTAGGGAGCAAATAGGTTTGCGTTTTTTGAAATTGACCTGCTTATGGCGCTCCTGCACTCGTCTGTCTTCTTAGAAAACGGCATGACTTTTTTAAAAAATATGTGAAAAAAAGTAATTTTCTACTTCTGTGTAGGTTTTCATTGCTTCTCTTCTTCTGAAGGACTAAAAGGAAATGTAAAGTATGAAATTTGTTTTGGGTTCCGGAAAATATAACACCTTTAAGTAAGTGAAAAAGTTACCGCACAGTGTTTTTGGCGTTTTTTCAGTTGAAGTACATTTGAAAGGTGCTTCAAAGGTTGTTAGAATTTTTTTTTTTTTTTGGACAGATTTAAAGAGTTTGTCGAGTAGTGTAAAGGGACCAAAGGAGATGTGTTTTATGTGGGAGGGGTTTGGAGAGCGGAGTTCTTTATGGAAACTTATGTAATTTGAAATCTCTCATCTATATGATCGTGAGTATTAAAACGTTCAATGGAGTTCCACGAAAAGTGCTGCATTTTATTTATCGTTCGTTTCTAAAATTTTCTGGAGTAAACTTCCCTTTTGATGACGTTCATATATGCAATTTTGGGACGGAGTTAAGAAGAGTGAAATAAAGTGAAGTCGTCGTTGTTTAGACAGATTTGGTTCTCTTTTTGTGTACGTCACCATTAAATTAAAGTCTCATTCTGGGTTTCTGCATTTGAGCACTAATCTTCTTTGGTGGGATACTGAAGAGATTTGGAAAGCTGTTTTGGTTGCCATTCTGTTTCACATGAACATCTGTTTGAAGTAACAGTACAAAGTTGTTGAGGTGAATAGTGAAACAGATTCTTTAAGCCACATTTACTGCAAGTAAAGAAAAAAATTATTTGTATAGTTTTTATTGGTTGAGTATTTTTGGTAATAAGTTCAGTTGCATGCTGTTCTGAAAAATTTCTCCATAGCGATACAGATAGTATTTCGCAACAAGGTATGCTAATAGTCGTATTATAACGCGACTTCAGTTATTTTGAATTTGGCCGAATCTCTTTTAGAGTTCATTATAAGGAGGTTACCTTCGTTTTATTTCTGCTCATCTTGTTATGAAACTTTTTTTATGACTTGTATATCTGCAGTGGTTGCCCAGGCTCATGGAAGTCCGACTTTGTACTTATACAGTTTCGGAGTGTCTGTTTTCTGCTTTTTTTTTTGCTCTCTTTTGAGAATATGGGTGATAGACAAGTTCTGAATCAGTAGGCTTTCTAGGTGTTTGAAGAGCTTGAATATATCAAAAGTTGTTTCTTGTATGAATTGTCATTTTAGCTAAAAAACCTGAAGAAAGAACTGAAGGAGTTAACTGACCAGGGCAATCGATTAATGGAACAAAAAAATGAAATGGAACGCAGAGCTGAGGCATTACGGCGTATGGTATGTAGAGAAACTGCAGTCGATTTCATTCCAAATTCTTATGATACTTCTAAAAATGTGAATTTATAACTTCGAAAAAGCTGCATAAAAAAGGTATGGCTTTTATAGAAAATTAGGCAAAGATTAGGAACAAAGTGAGGGTACTTCACGGGAGAATGTGCTATTTTAGTGGTGCATGGGGACTTTGAAGGTAATAGAGACTCTTGAGCTTTTAGCGTCTTTTAATTAACAGATATACAGTCAAAAGGAAATTTTTTACTGCAGTGGTAACAGAGCAGGTGGTTTTTTATTGAGCTTTGATTCAACTAATATGGTTGCTTAGTTTCTCAGAATTTAACCACGTACCGTACTTTAAAAGTCGAAGAGTCGTTTTTACACTTTATAGATGGCCCCGACCAGATCGCAGCTTTTGGATTTTACGGGTTTTTAGAGTGCTGGTGAACGTTTTATTAGAACCTTCTTTGACTTCTTTTACTCGTTAGAACTGAAACCTGAAGCAGGTTTTTGAAGATCACTGTTGAATAATTTCGATCCTTACTTATTTCGCTTGCGCCAAAGAGCCGAGGTTTGGTGCACCGGATCAAATTCAAGCGAGTCTGTTGATGGGTATTCAGCTTTTGAAATCGTTTTGGTTTCCGGCCTTGGACTCCACCTCTTTTTTTTAGGCCTTAAAGTTCTTACATGAATCAGAGGGCTGTCACGAAGATGAATAGAGGATTTGAGTCAAGGCGCGTTCTACTGACATTTATAAAAGTGACGTGTAGTTGGGACTTACAAAAGATGTAATGCAAACTTTTCTTATTTACTCCAGGTTATTATGCAGCTTAACCACTCCTACACGAGCAGAAGTTAAGGATGCTGGTCTTATCACATTATTACCAGATTTCAACCAGTGCTTTAGGAAGGAAGAAGGTTCTGCTGCGTATGGAGTTCTACGTTTACTTTTCATCAGCAGGCATTAAGGAGAATTGGAATGTCTTTTCTTGGAGAATTCTAATCCAGAATTTGGAAGTTCTGAACCGCTAAAAAAGTTGTTTTTTGATTGCTTCTATCAGTCTGTTCAGAGTAAGCCTAAAATTGATGTTGTAAATATGTCATCACTTCGAGTTTTTTTTTT